TAAACGACGCCTCAGATAAAGACGCATTCCCGATACCTCACGTGAATGCGTCACTGGATAAATTGCGGAAAGCCAAATTCATCAGTACGATTGATCTGAAAAGTGGGTACTGGCAGATACCACTAGAGGAAGAAAGTAAACCGTTGACTGCTTTCACGATTCCGGGCCGTGGACTGTTTCAATTCCGAGTAATGCCTTTTGGACTCCATTCAGCGCCTGCGACGTTCCAGCGCGTAATGTACGAAGTTTTAGGCGCGGATCTTGAAACACACGTAGTAGTGTACCTGGACGACATAATCGTGGTTAGCGAAACCCTTGCTGAACACATGACAATCCTGAAAAAGGTCATGACCCGACTTCGTGCGGCGAACCTGAAATTGAATTCAGAGAAATCGCACTTTTTGAAGAAAAGTACTGTGTACTTAGGCCACGTAATCGACGAGCAGGGAATTCGAACGGACCCAGACAAGGTTAAGGCAATCACCGAGATTGCGCCACCGCGGAATACCAAAGAACTACGACAGTTCTTAGGTATGATTTCTTGGTACCGCCGTTTTATTCCAAATTGCGCCGATTTAACCAAACCTTTGTCTTCCCTTCTTCAAAAGAAGAAACGTTGGAGATGGGAAACCCCAGAACAAACCGCGTTCGATACCCTAAAAGATCACTTGAAATCGGATCCATTACTGGTCCCCCCGGATTTCTCGAAACGTTTTGTACTACAAACGGATGCGAGCGACGTCGGAATAGGCGCTGTTCTAACTCAGGAACATGATGGCGCAGAAAAAGTCGTTGCATACGCAAGTCGAGGGCTGACGAAAGCCGAACGAAACTATAGCGTAACTGAAAAGGAATGTCTCGCAGTGGTCTGGGCAATCCAGAAACTGAGACCATATCTCGAAGAGTATGAGTTCACGGTTATCACGGACCACCAGTCACTGAAATGGCTCCGATCAATAGAAAGCCCAAGTGGGCGCGTAGCACGATGGAACTTGTACTTGCAACAGTACAATTTCGACGTCGTATACCGGAAAGGGAAGTGGAACAAAGTCGCGGACGCGCTATCGCGAAGTACCCCTGAAAATTCCGTTGAGGAAGATTCTCACGAGTCAGAATCCAACTTAGTACTAGAAGCTTTAGAGCTTGGAGACATTTGGTACGAAAGAATCGTCAAAGGAGTCGAAAATGACCCCCAACGTTATCCTGAGTACTGCCTAAAGCAAGGCCTGTTATACCGACACCGTTATCATAGCTTAGACTACACTGATCGAGGCGACGTCTGGAAATTATGTGTTCCGGTCGCAGGCATCAGTAAAGTATTACGAGAAAATCATGACGTTCCTTCAGCCGGCCATTTAGGCATTGCAAAGATGATTGATCGTGTTTCGAGCCAATATTATTGGCCCCGTATGAGGGCAGAAATCACGTCCTATGTGCGCCAGTGCGGGGCATGTCAGGCATTCAAGGCCTCACAGCAACCCCCGTCGGCCCCAATCGGAACAATCCCTGCTCTGAAGCCCTGGTCCGTCGTATCTGCGGACGTAATAGGCCCCAAACCGCGATCGTCGCGAGGAATTAGTTACCTGGTAGTTTTCCAATATAAGTTCTCCAAGTGGATAGAAATCCAACCGCTGCGGCGACAGACAGCCACCGCGATTGCGACTGCTTTCAAAAAAAGAGTCTTGCTGCGTTTTGGCCGGGTAGACACGGTGATTACCGACGATGGTACCTCTTTTGTAAGCAAGGAGTTCACTTCCTTATTGTAACAATTCGGGATAAATCACGTACGAACCCCACCATATTTGCCTCAATGCAATCCAGTCAAAAGAACAAACCGAGTCATAGGAACAATGATTGCTCAATTCGTAGGATCAAACCAGCGAAACTGGGATAGGCAAGTTCCAGAGTTCACTTTTGCTTATAACACTGCGAAACATGACGCGACAGAATTTTCTCCGGCGTATTTAAATTACGGCCGTGAAATCCTGCCTCCTTTATCAATAAGGGCACGAGCCGACCGAGGGAAAGACGAAGTTTATGATCCGCATCGGGCAGCCAAGACCTTGGAAGATACCATTGAGTTGGTCAAGGTTAATCTGGCCCAAGCCTATGGGAAACAAGCAAAGTATTACAATCGCAAACGTGGTTCCTGGCAACCAGCTCTTGGAGACCTGGTCAGCAAGAGGGAACACAATTTGTCATCGGCGATTGACCACTTTTCGGCTAAACTTGCGGAAAAGTACGCGACGGGCTTTACAGTAACTAAAATCGTCGGTCCTTCCGTATACGAGGTTAGTAAAGGGGGTAAAACTTTTACCGCGCATATTAAAGACTTAAAACGTTTCCATGAGGGAAATCCCCCGGAACCTGACCAGGAAAAACTTGAACGTGAACAAATTGACCGCGAAAACCCTGAACCAGATTTAGACGAAACCTTGGGACCGCGTCGTGTAACCCAAGCTATGGCCAAAAAGGCAAAATTAGCCTCTGTCGCCAGAGAACCGGGTTGAAAGCGGAACGCCAAGTAAACTGTTAGAGTCAAGTTACATTTTTTTTTGTTTGGACATATTTAGTAGCCAATCACGTAATTTTCTTAAATCGAAATGTCGATACAGGTTTATGAGTCAAAACCATGCCCAACAAAATATAAAGTTTTTGTTCAATAGTAGAGAAATTTAATATTAAGGGTCAAAACTGGTCTTAGGAATGTTGTTTGAGCCTTTTATTTTTATCGTACTTTAAATTTAGACTTACAAGATGGAACCGGAATACACGGAAGAAGAAGAAATCTGGTTACTAGAAGAAATGCTGAAAAATCCATTGGATATCGTCCGTCACCGCCTGCCAGAAGCCGCCAAGCCTTCGAGCTCCAGCTAAAATGCTGTCCACGAGCCTTACGAGCCGACCACCCCTGGGACCATAGCAGTCGAAACACAGCCGAAAAGAGTCAGCTAGGGGCTATTTAAGCGTAAAAGGTCCAAGACACTGATCAGGCCAGTCACGGCCAGCTTGTTGAAACTGACCAGAAAGCCGAGATTCAAAACAAGTAGGTTGGAGGATCTCTTTGGTGCCAGCCTCACTAAAGAAACCTCTACATCTCCGAGAAAGTTCCCAGACAGTGGAGCTGGAAACTATCACACAACTGCCGACTCGGGCTCACGTCAAAAACGCAGTCCCCAGTCGACCGCCACGCCAACGAAGACTGCCAGTAAGGAGTGTGCTGAACCAGTCGTCGAAACTGCTGAACGAATCGCTCAAGTCTGTGAACCAGTCGCTGAATTGGTTGAACCAGTTGTTGAACGTACCGCTGTAGTAATTGAACCAGATGTTCAACCAGTTGTCGTTCCTGAGGTGGAACCGTTTGATCCAGTTATGCCTGCTGTCGAACCTGATGAGCCGATGGAAGTCGACGAACTAGTCGTACCTACCACTGAGGATCCTGCTGTTGAACCTGTTGTTGAACCTGCCGTTGAACCAGTGATGCCGTTGTGCCTGCTGCTGAACCTGTAAAGGAAAAAGAAAAAGTTAACCGTCCGGGCCCACATCAACGACGCAGTCCCCAACGGAAAGGCCTGAAGATCCGGGAGTCCACCGTATTCTCAAATAAAATACGTCTGGTTGCGCCACATAAGTCGCAAGAATCAAATCAACGACCTCCAATACGTGCTCCACCGACCACTACGAGGGTAGAGCCAGAAGTCCGCTGGGTGTTGCCAGAGTACCCCGAACTAGAGGATTATCCAGAGTCCTTTGCAGACAAGCCTGGAGACCTGTTCCCCAGCCCACAGAAGATTAAGACTCCGATGCAGAAACTAAAGGAGTCTATGGTCTCCTTGGAGAATATGCAGAACCGACCCTTCCTGCCAGGAAGGAGAACCAAGCGCACTTTCACCGCCTACAACAAACACGGGCGCATCTGGAAAGTCACGCAGACGAGGAACCAGCCTAAACCGACTCTAATATTGACCGAGGAGCAGTTAGAAGATCGGTTGGGTAGATTCACAGAAAAGAAAAGTGGCAAACTAGTTCACCACTTTTCTTTCCAAGGAAAGAGGGGTAAGACCAAGGTTGTGGGACAGAGATAGCTGAGAAGTAGGGCTAGAAGAGGGGACAAGGAGGAGAGAGACAACGGCTACCGACGCGACAGGCCGATTTATATTATTGTCATTTTTGTTTATAGTTCTGTTTATGGATTAAAATAAGACGTTCAGTATTATTATTAATTACTATTATTAATTATTATTGTTACTTTTGCAATTTAAAACCGAGTATTATTTGCGTTAAAATTAGTATTAAGTAAACTATGTATATATCTTGTTAAATTTTCTTTCTTTTTAAATTAAATGTTCATTAAAATTATACAGTGTTTTGTTTATAATATTAATATTATTATTATTATTATTAATTTTCTGTTAGTTAAAATAATTTTGGAGAAAGGAAATTTATTAGTTCGCCACCGTACGAGAGATGGCGTCGCGTGTCCGCTAGCAGTAAAAACCGCCGAGCTAATATAAGTGAAATCGTGGCACGATAATTTTTGTTCTTTCAGAGAACAACAATTGATTTTATCTGAAATAAATAACTGATTAAATATTTCGAATAAAATTCGAAATATCCAATTAATTTTTTTTTCTAAGTCGAATTTGTGTGAAAATAACTTATGTAAGAAATTTTCTAAGTCCCAGAAAATTAAATTAGTATGGGAATTAAATTTGGTAAAATATTTATTTTGTTTTAAAATTATTTGTCTAAGTCGAATTTGTGTGAAAATAATTTACGTGAGAAATTTTTCAAGTCCCGATGAGGCTTTTGTATGGAAATGTAATTTGATAAAAATTCATGTAATCTGTTGAATTGAACGAATGCATTTGATATTTAATTTTCAAAGTGAAAATTAAAAACTTAGAATTTGGCGAGACGAATGGATAGAAAATGAGGAAAATTACGATTAAAATAATAAATAAGTATTTTAAATTGCTCGTTCGATGACGCCGGACAGATGGCGATAAATTTTGATTTTTGTTCGCTCCAAGTAAAAATTTCAAATATGATAAAGTCCGAAATTTTGTCACGGAAAGGCAAGTCTTGTGACAGAGTGTTATTGTGGTGAATATTCTTCTGACAATAACAGCTGGAGGGACATTACCTTGATTCGCCTTGACCACTGGTAAGTACCTTTTGAACTCTTAGCAAGATTTGACTTCCCTGGATTTTTGACCTTCTGTCAAAACACCAGTAGGTGATCATACGCCGTGTAGGTGGGGGCGAAGAGGATATTCTCCATTCGCTCTCCGGGTAGAGGTTTAGGCCCAGGGGTGACGGCTAGTCTCCTGGGGAAGCGGGGAACCAGCTTTTGAGTTGTAGTTCGCGGTTTTGGACGCTCACCACGAGTGAGAGAGTGTGTGTGAGGATTCTTATTTTTGTAAACACCAGTTTTGATAGTTTTGATCGGATCTTCGTTACCGACGAAAGGTACGCGTGCGCTTACCGACGTAAGATTATTTGATTTGAAATCGTTTCTTGTATTTTCGTTTTGATTAACGACATCTGTTAATCAAGATTTAGTTTTGGGGTTTTGATATAACCTAAAATTGTATCAGGTGTGTTTTGTTTATTTGTAATCTTTTTCATTGACTTATTTAATTGATTTTGATGAATAAATTGTTTATTTTATCTTCATCATAACCTGTTTGACTTTTCGAGTTTATTTCTTTAGATTTATTTATCTATTATGCTACTTACATTTGATTGAGTTTGTTTTGGCTTTTTATTTTCGGTTTTGTTATAATTTGTGATCCCCGTTTATGACCCTGGACTTCGGCGAGCTTCAGATTCGAGCAACGGGGGCGTTTGTGTCGCAGTATCGTTCATTGTTGTTTTGTTATTTAAAAACACTCAAAAATTACCCGTTACAATATATATATATATATATATATATATATATATATATATATATATATA